AGATGTGTATAAGAAATTTATATTATATATATTACTTTTGGCAATCATCAGGGTACAGTTTTGTGTTTGGGTTTTTATTTCTTTTAATGTTTTTTCTGTTTTGTTTTCCTGAAAATTGAAAATAAAGCTGAACATAGAATTGATAAATTTATTCAAAAAGCAAGTCTTATAAACTGAATTATGAATGTGAAATGATGACAAATCAGGAAAAGGTGTTTAATTATACAATTTGACTTATTGTTTTTTACAAATGGCTTTTATATCAATACAAATTTGACTCTTGAATAATACAATGACTTATAAAATCAACATGCGTGAACAAGTACACAACTTTTAATACCAAGAACTTACAGTTCCCCTGACTGCAAATATTATTAAACCATAACTTTCATTCAAATTAATGACAAAAATATTTTTGTCATTTACCATAAAAAAAAAAAAAAACTTTCGTTCTCTGTTTATGAGCTTTCTACAGTAGTTGTTTGGAATTGTGGATGACAACAAAGGAGGGCAGTGTAATTCGCATACTGTGGTTTGAAACTTTAACCTAGGAAATGGGATAGACTATTTGGCATGCAGTATTCTACATTATTTTCTCCTACAACTATACATAGGATCAGACGAGATAGAAGATAGAACTTAAACCTCAGTAAAGTCCTTCACTGCTTGTACCCTGGAACATTGAGGCAACAGACTCAAACATACATCTTTTTATCAAAATTTCTTGAATACTCTATTTATAGTTTAAGGATCTTCTACAGTAAGATTGGCAAATTGTCCTCTCTAATATGGTGTGTTATAAATTGACCTTGGTTATTCCCATCAATCTGTACAGTGTTAATTTATCGTCTGCTATGTTTTCATAGGTTCAGGTTGATTAACTTTGTGCCCTTGTTTTTCTAGTTCCGCTCTGTGGTAGATAGAATGAGAAAGAAATTTAGTCTTAAAAAAATAATTTTGAAATTGTATTATTTGACTTCACTGTTAAAATATTTTTTAAGAGTAAACAGATTTGACACAATAGTAAACTTTATTAAATTTGATACAATATATTGTATTCAAATTAGTTCCAATAAATTGATCAATTCATCCATCCATCAATCAATCAAACAATAAAATTAGCATTAATTCAGCAACGTTTTGATGAATAAAGCAGTTTTCATTACATTTGATAAACAGCGAATGTGCTACGCTTAAATTTCTTACAAATTTAAAACCTAAACAAAGATACCTTGACGTTAGGTTAGAGTACCTAACACAATATCTATTATACATTTTATAATATAGAAAATGTCGACAGAACTGAGTACAGTATCTATACATTTAAATCAAATGAAATGTATACTGTATATATAAACTGTGGAGTTCTTTCATTTTTTATATTGTTCTAAAGTAGACTAACATTCAAGGCTACACCTTATATTTTATTGATCAATATTTGATTGATTGATACACTTTATAAAAACTTTTAAAAAAAACACACTGTACACACACTTTAAGACATTAAGATCAAACTCAGGCCTTTAAATACATTGTTCAAAATCAAAACAATCTTTATGGAATAATGGGGGTGATTGAAAGTTTATTTGTTATAATTCTAGTGGCACAAATTTCCAGCAACCATAAATATTTTGGGTGTACTCAGCACGCACCTTAACTGATTTGAAAAATCATCTTCCACTACATCATCATCCCAATTATCTTCCCAAACATTGACATCTTCTGTGTCCTCCTCATCTTCTTTCCACTCTACAATAAGGTAAAAACAAATAATTAAAAATGCCTTAAGTGCAAACATAACATGTCATTACTATAATTCTCAAAAAGGCAATAGAATCCTTTTTGGCGGGGACACTGATAGAATACTCCACTGGTGGCAAAAGATTCGCAAAGTTTACGACAAATGTACAGGAAATCTTCAGGATACAGGTTATCTTTTTCTATGTCGTGCCAAAAATATGAATGCTACATGGTGAATCACATATGACATAGTTGTAATTGTATATGCTGGGAATCCACAAAAAAAAAAAATTGTAATTATTCCATTCATTTAAAAAAACGCAAAACGTTCGTCAGAGTTAATGCAGCGGGTGTAGCATAAAATTCATTGTCGGGCTATTCAAATCCCTTCATTACCCAAACTGCAATTGTCACCTACGCTAAAAACCAAATGTATGATCCAGTGTTTCTATAGCCTAGGATGATTTCCCCAGTGACTTTAATTAAAATTAAAAAAAAAAAATTAAATAAAAAAAATTACATTAATTTTGTTTTAAATTATAAAAATAAAAAAAAAATTAAATAAAATTAAAATATAAAACTAAAATAGAAAAAAAATAATTTTTTAGATTTATATTTTTAGGAGCCTTGAATGGGCTTGAGATTACTTTTGTAAACTAAAAAGGGGGAGCTTCTTTTCAAACTGAATGCTGCAACTTTTTGAATAATACTGATACTGACACACAATAAATATTTTCAAAGATATGTCAGTCTGAATGTTAAGTACACTTAAAAAGTGTTCTGCTTGGCCTTAGGCCTTTCTTGGCTATTTTTTGAGGTTTTACGATATAGGCCTACCTGTAGGGGCCTAGGCCTAGCTATAGTAGTATAATAATAAGAATGGGTGTCGGTCAATCCATACCCAAACCAACCCGTACCAAAATTTAGGTCAATCCGTACCAACGTTTGGTCAATCCATACCCATGTCATTTTGGTCAACCCGAACCCAAAAGATATTTGTATCTGTACGATCTCGTGTGGTCTGTAAGATTGTCGTTGCCGCTAATATTAAGGTAAGTTTTCTCATAATTTTCAATTAGTTTTAATTTTCTCTGCTTCATTTTGTTTTCCTCTAGGCTATTCTTTATTAGTGTTCTTTTTTCCTCTTTTCTCATAATTTTCAATTTTATTTTCATTAATTTTCTCCGATTTTAATTTTTTCTTTCTCTTTTCTTTTGTCTTTGGGCCTATTCGTTATTTGCATTAAGTTGGGACTAATACCCTCTGTAATACAATAAAGTAATATACTTTTCTATATTTGAAAAATGTGTAAAATTAAGAACGAAATAAAAACATTTTGAGCCTGAAATCGGCAAAAAAAAAAACAACAAATAAATAAATAAAATAAGAACACCGAACCTGGGCAAAATTTTACTGGTATAACACAAACAGTTATAAATGTATTTTTAAATGTATCCGGCCTAGTAATCAAATACTAATAAGCCTGGTGTCATTCATAATAAAGGTCGGACATGATTATACATATATAAAACAGACTGTTGCATGTTATTAAAGTAACTAAAATTAATTTATATTTTTATGAGTTTACAATAGGCCTTATCATAAATAAAAACAAACATTTCATTTGTGTGCAGCTATATATCTGGGACCACTGTTGCTTCAGACATAATATTATTCACCATTACAATTGAATATTTTATTGATATTTATTTAATTACTAGACCCTTGTAAAACATTGTGAAAACAAATAACGACACCACGAATGGAGCCATAATATGTAGCGCCCCCAACTTGCGTGTTCTGCTTCTTCAGCAATCATAATTTCAATCATTTCTTGATTGAATGCATCCTATCAAAGATATTAGAATACATCTTCTAATCGGTAAGTTAGGCGTTCATAATACATGATATCATTAATATCTAAATAGACAATGTAATGTTCTATATAATTATAGGCCTAGTAAATAATATTTTTCATCAAACTTGGGTATGGTTTAAACAACGATGGGTACAGTTTGATCAAAGATGGGTACGGGTTGACTAAAATTCTGGGTATGGGTTGACCAAAATTTGGGTACAGTTTGTGGGTATGGGTTGGCATGGGTATGGTTTGACTGTAATTCATAAGAATTGGTTATCCATATTATTATTAATACCGTTGGAAACCGCGGCCTCAAGCTTATAATAGGCCTAGGCCTATCTATATAGTAAAATCTTGGAAAAAAGATAAATTTTGAATTACAGGATGAATAGAATTGATCTAGGCCCTAGGCTAATCAAGCCAACGCACTTTTCTAATCACCATGCGGTAACCAAGGCAAGGCCCCCCTATTCCGCCCTAGCCTATCGACCGTCTACTTATCATGACATGCGGGGGACCGCCGCCGGGATCTAGCCTAGCTAGGGCCTTGGATTTGATAGTCATAAATCCGTATTATATTTAATACAGAAAAAAACTAAATATAATTTGCAATAACTAAAAATAGAGCTTAAGATACCTTCAGCTTGAAATTCTTCAAATTCATCGTCTTCTTCTAACAATCCTAAGTCAACCTTCTTTGTAGGTTTCTTTTGGTCATCCATGATTTTTATCGCAAATTGCTTATCATGCTTTCGTGGTAGAGGGCGCGTTGTCCACACTTAGTACAGAGCCATAGATAGAAAGAGTTGCGACATTGAGAATTTAGAAGCCATTTTGTTTCATACGCGATGCGTGTTCTGTGTCTAACGTGATGTGCGTTCCTGTGTATAACATTGTATAAATACAGTTAACAGCCTCCTGTATAGCTGTCTCTTATACACATCTAGATGTGTATAAGAGACAGGTTATGTTGGGTTTGGGGTTGCTGCAATCGATCCAACAAAGAAACAAAAATGTATTAATTTCCTTAAATTCCAAAAAGGAGGAGGATTTGGGATTTTATTTTAACTTTGCATGGCGATCGAAAAATCTCGCTATCCACGTACGTAGTAAATTATAACTTCGCGGTAATATATATCCACCTACTACTACTAGGCCTAGACAGGCCTAAATCTCGGTACTTCTTCGATGATAATATAAAAAAAGGAAGGATTTTCAAGCAGCAATGCTTTATAAAAAGATGCAATGTTGCACTTTGCTGTTAAATTATATATAACTATCAGAAAGCTACATGAAGAATCAGTCAAAGGTAGCTTAAATTATAATTAAAAATAAAAATTGAATCCAATAAAAGCGAAAACTTGTCCAAGGAGTCCTGTGCTATGCAAACATGCCCAATTGTACTTTACAAATCAATTAATTGTGCAACTAAAGATTTTAAAGATAAAAATATATTTTATAGATATGCCTAATTGTATTATAATATATTGATTGTTTTAATACATATTTTAAATCAAAACGTTTAAATGTTTTACAAATTACAAATCAAAATTTCAATGAATAATAATAAATAATAATAATAATAAATAATAATACAGTAATATTGATAATATTATAACTCACTAATATTTCAAACAAAGTTTGGAGAATGCTGCTATTTTACTTACAAGGCCTAGCTTCTTGATTATGAATGATTAGGCATACGTTGTACAAAAATTTCTCTCAATGCAATAATTCTTCAACTTTGATTTATTGTTTAGATTACAATTTACAAATAGGCCTAGGCTTAGGCTATTTGTATTGGTTTGCAGATGACCAGCATATTAATTATTATTTCATAAATTAAAGTTTACGAAGTCATAGGTCTAAAGGCCTAGATACAATTATAAAACTTTCATGTTATTAATATTTTTATCATTTATTTACATGCGAAATTAACATATTATCGCCGACGATTCACAAACCTACTCTGTCTGCACAACCAACCTTTCTCCTCTGCAGTGTTGACTCTTAGGAGCCTCAGAGGAGGCTGCTAGCAATTAGATAGGCCTAGGGCCTAGGCCTAGATGATAGACTTTCAAAACAAAAAGATAATCGTAACGGGAAAAAAAACAAAGAATCGTCCTCACTTTATCTTCCCGAAATAATACAGCACGTCACTGATTAATTAATTCCAAAGTTAGGTAAATATGATTATATATTTACAATGATATGTTAAAATCCCATAATTGAATTGTCCTCATGAACAGAATAATGAAAGAAAGTTTATGCAGCATCAGTGTTTTATAAAATGTTATAAAGCTCTACGCGCGCACGCTGTTTGGTGACAACATGGCGCCCATGCGCCAAGTTGGCCAAACTCTCTCTATCTATGGCTCTGACTTAGTACAGAGCCATAGATAGAAAGAGTTGCGACATTGAGAATTTAGAAGCCATTTTGTTTCATACGCGATGCGTGTTCTGTGTCTAACGTGATGTGCGTTCCTGTGTATAACATTGTATAAATACAGTTAACAGCCTCCTGTATAG